ATAAATAAAGTTTTCAGACAAAAGTCAAAGAAAACAGCGTGACGAGTGTTTCGAGTATTTCATACGAATACTTGTAGAAGAAAATAACAAAAAATTGAAACCCATAGTGGCTTATAGTAAATAGTTTGTTAACGTTTAAATAATCAGAAGAAGAACTGAACAAGTATAGAAGAATCACGACGATGATAAAGAGATATGTATTAAGTTTTCTCTATAGTTCTCTCAAGATTTGCACGCTATCACGTGATTCGATATTCTCTTCTTCACCCTCAAAATCTTCGTCCCCGCACACTCACACATACACATACACAACCATACTCTCGTATTTTACGTCAAAGGTGGCCAAAGTTTGGTGGTCAAGTGAGCTTCGATGCGCCACTAAATTATTTCAACAACAAAAACGTTTATAAATAGTAAAATATATAGGAAGGACATTGGAAAAAGACAAAATAACTTGTTTTTTAATGGGATTTACGAGCCTGTTTGCTCTTGGCCAAATTATTCATGTCCGGGGTTGTACTGATAATCATCGAATTTTTCTAAATTCTCATCGGTCATTCTCGATCTGCGGTGCTTGTTCTTAATTAATTTCATGGAGGAGAAAGCTTGTCCGCGTCTATAAGTGCATATATATATATATATATATATATATATATATATATATATATTTGTGCAAATTTTGACGTTTAATAAAATTTATCAAGTCAACATCAGTTTGAACAGAGAAAGAGAGAGTATCAAACTTTGCTTTTGAAAAACTAAGAAAAATTGATCGTGACAATATATTGACTAAATTTTGAACATGGTCGAGTTAATTTCAATGTTTTTACATCTTGCATTATTCTTTCTATTTATTACCAAAACTTGCCCTATGCGCCACAGTTGGCCATTCCTGTTTTATGTGTTGAGGGAGGCTAAAACAAACAGTTTCAAACCTTAGGCCGCACGCCTCAGGAAGAAATTCCCAGTAATGAGGTTTCCTCATCCCTTTCGATTTCCTACTTGTAATCCGCTAATAACTCTGCACGAATATAAAAACCTAAAGAAGAGCAGTCTGTCGTTATCTTTGTCAAGTTTCTCCCATCGGCACTCGAATCCATTTCCTCTCCTTCTTCTGCAAACCAGTTTCAACCCCCGCAGTTCGCGTCTTTCCATTACGTATCGAACTCTCCTCCACGCCAGGCATCGTCGACCGATCAAAGCAAGGGAAGAACGGGAGAAGGGGGACTGCAGCTGCGGCGAAAAGCAGGCAAAAGGTCAGCGGCGTCGAAATCGCGATATTCCCCGCTCGTGGACGGCGTTTCTCACGGTCTCGTTATCGCGCAAACATCGCGACTTGTTTGCACGGGCATCGACGAACGAGCGGTGCGACGCTATTGCTGGTATCGCAAGATCACGTGTCGACGCCCTGTCCAGCGATTAATTGAATCTCGGCGCACACGTGCGCGAACGAATTCGCGAACGGGCACGTGCCAGCGGAATCGAACGCGCCTTTCGAAAATCCCTCTTCCGCTCGATTCACTCGTATAAATAGAAACGACTGGTCGTCGCCCGAACTCACGTTCGAACGCGAGTCTGCGAATTGTTGCCCCCTCCGGTCTATTTCCTGCGATTCGAGACGCTCGTCTTGCTAGCTTTTGCGTCCTTTCTTTCTTTCTTTTTCTCTTTTTCTCTTTTTCCTGAGATATTTCTGGCGTGAAGGATAAACAGAAACGGAGATATTATTAACGTAATTAATTGCGCTGCTTTCCAGCATAGAGAGCTGGTGCCCAGCGAAGGCCTCAATATTCGAGTGAGTTTGCGCAGAGTTACCCGTTTAACCTCTTGCGCTGAAACGACGTGCCACGCACGTTGAGAATTTTTTTGTTTCAAAATTGTAATATTTTGTCAGTTTTGAGTGTATTTAAGTAAAACAAAATAGGCAGAAAACAAATAATAAATTTATTATTTCCCAATAATTTTTACCCAGTGATGTCATACCGACGAGTTCAAAAAGAATGCGACGAATTATTGTATACGATTTGGTCACTCGTTATGGTCCGCAATCAGTTGCCAGCGCAAGTGGTTAATCCTTTGAGTAAGTCCTTCTAGGAGAGATCGAATATCCATTGGAGTGGTTTGTTTCTTTTGTTGAGAAATGAGAAGATCCTGCAAGAACTGTCGAAAATTTGTTCGAAGTTTGAAATTGATATTAACCACGAAGGTTGAAAGAAGTTTGAAAGCTTATGAATATACTTCGTAGATGCGTAGGATAAGTTGCGTTCGAAAGAAACGATGAACCCTGCGTTTCAACCAACTTCTCCACAAGTCGTAATCGTATCGAATATCGATAAAGAGAGATGTAACTGTAATGTTTGACGAGGTATTAAACGCGGACATCTGGCGTCCACCAGGAAGCGATTACGATACCCGGGTATCGAAACAAAACTGAGCAAAACCAAAACCGAGAGAGCTTTTATCGCCTTGGAATTATATAAATTTCCGCGACTATGTTGCCTCCAGTCAGCAAACAACATCTGTATACACGAATACACAGCTGCATAATATCCCGATGACCACGAAGAAGCGCGCTCGCAATAACTTTATTCGTTCGTTCAGGAATGAAATTTCCTTGAGAAACAAAAAAAAAAAAACGTGTCGTCGAGGACTCGATGATGGATCTATCCGCGGAGGGGGGGAACGGCTGAATATCGAAACCAGTCTCACGTGTGGCAAGCCACCAGCAAAAACCCGTGAAAACCACCACAAGGCTCGGCACGGAGGGAAGGGAGGGAATGGCTCGATAACGACGTACGAGACAGCCAAGTGAAATTTTACACCGGATGCAATCCGAGAAACGGCACAATAGAAAACGCTGTCCACCGGCCTTTTATCGACGTTTCTTGCGCAAAAGCGAACCCTAGTGTCTTTCTCTTTCTCTCTATCAACAAGCTCCTATGCGGGACACTTCCCTGCGCGTCGCGTTTTTCATTCTCTCCTCTCCTGTCGAGCCAGACCCAGCCAACCAGCCAGCCAGCCAGCCAGCCAGCGATCGATCGATCGTCCCCAGCCATATGGCGCGTGCAACTCGCGCTTGGGGGTTCGCCGAAAAGAGACGCTTGTTGCACCACGCGCTACGAGAACGTGCTTCGTGTTTCCACAACCAGCGACCAGGGTTGCTTTGTGTTTTCGACATTAATTGGAGGGGGGAGGGAGGGGGGGGGAGTGGACCTTTCACCTCGTCGAATCGAATTTTCAAATACGAGAGATTGTCTCGTAATCGACGCTGTGTTTGCTGTCTTCGCAGAGCAAACACAGTCACGTAACGAAATATGCTGTTAAGGTACTATGTTCCTCGAAGAACGATATCTGTTTCTGGCATGTTTTTCTTTTTTTCTTTTTTTCTTCTTTTGCGCGCGCGAACACGGCGATTCCACATTGTTTGACATTCCTCGTTATTGACCAAGTTCCGTAGAATCGAGTGTACATCAATGGAACGGTATTCGTTGAGCAAAACGCGCGTACTACTTCTTGAAACTATGTGTGTCCATGACGATGACAGACAACCTGCAATCGCAGAATGACGCGAGTTCTATAAAAAGTAACCGCTATCGCGCGATGGAATAATTGGCGTGAGACTGCACGTTTAGTTTTTATCTTTTTTTCTCATATTTTATCGAAATTCGCGTTTCAGTCTTATCTATCGGCTCTCGCGTTCGTTTGTTACCGTACGTTCAACGTTGCACGAGTCTCATAAATTTCCCATTTAAAACGATGACATCACGCGAAACAAATCGCCGAAGGATTCGTTCTTTCAATAGTACTTTGCTTCTATATGACACGTATATATCTTCTTCCATATATATAGAAAAAATCTAGTCAGTCAAATTTAAAATGTCAAAAGTTGTTTGAGGAAACCTAGTAAAAAAAAATTTCGAATGTAAAAAGTTAAATATGATGTAATAAGAACGTGAATGTCGATACTGATTAGAACCACGTGATGTAGTATACAAGGAATTTGTATATATATATAAGTTAATAATAGATAATTTAATATAATCAATAATAAAATCAATAATCTAATAAGAATCTAATTAATCAAATTTAAAGTGCCGAAAATTATTCGAGGACATGGAAATTTAATAAAATAGAAAAGTTTCGAGCGTAAAAAGTTAAATATGATGTGAATCTCGATATTGATTTGAACTACATGATATAATACATAATGAATTCATAATATATTTATATATATTGTAAATATTTAACATATTTCGATCCTCTTTTGCTAAACAATGAATTTGTGCGAACGTTTATATATATTTTGACAACCTTGGAATGATTCATTTTTTTAATAGTATAATATATAATCGATCAAATTTAAATTGTCACAATTTAAACTTAGTAAATCTCCATGTTGATCAGAACCACACGACACGGTATATAACAAATTTATAATATACATAAGCCAACAGTCAATAAAAACTTTCGATCATCCTTCGCCAACGACAAAATTTGCGCGAAATTTGCTCGCAATCTAACAATCTGACAAGCAGCAGATGCATCGCGTCACAATCACGAAAGGGGGTGGTTGGTCACAGAACCCCGCTACCGGTCAGCTTGACCAGGCTCGATCGATCGATCGACGGCCGTAACGGCGTTCGGTCGCAGTGCGTGGAGAGCGTGTTGAAGCGAGGGCGACCGGTTCGAGCGGGTTTCCGAAAGGAAAAGGCATTCCAGGCCGCAAAGTGGCGGATCGCCCGCTGATTGGAGGACAGTGTACGCGAGTCGTTGCCGCGTACGTGTTCGGGACAGGACTGTTGGCTGGCTGTGCAGCGTGTTCAGAGACAGAGAAAGGGACTCGAATGGGCTCGCTGACTCTTACAATTAAACAGAGAGAGAGAGAGGGAGGGAGAGAGAGAGAGAGAGAACGAAGGAGATCCGCGCCGCGACGGCGGTGAGAGTTTAGAGGCGAGTGTCGAGTAGAGCGCGGCTCGAATGGAATGGAATCGCGTGTATGCCTCTAGACTCGCTGTTCCGCTCGAGCCGGCGTCCGAGTCAGTGTGCGCGTTGCATACGTGCTGTACCGTGCCCGCGCCGCGCTGTGCCGTGCCGTGCCGTGTGCGCGGGATTAGGAGAGTCGCAGCAGTAGGCCACCGGCGCTTGACGCCTCCGCGTCTCGTTTTACGGCTCGCGCGGCTCCGACCTACCGTAAAAACCATGTTGCTCGACCCGCTGACGAATATCGATCGCTAGCATCGATCGGTCACCGATTCACACGTGTTCCCTCCGCTACTTGACATTTCTCAAACTTGCTTGCTCCTGTGAGTTCTCCGACCCGATCAACGGATGTTGACCATTTGGCATTTGGCGCAGTTTTGCGTTGACTCGCCGCGGTTTCAAACTGTGAACGATCGCGTCGCGCGTGTTCGTGTTTCCAACCTGTTTCGTAAGACCGAAGGATTTTAATCGTCGTCTGTCAGTTGAAGAGAGATCGAGAGAGAGAGAGAGAGAGACTCGCTCTCTGAAGATCGATCGCGTGACGCGAGAAGCAACTTTCGCGCCAACAAATTGCCTTTAAACCATCTGGAATCTTTGCTACGCGAGAAACATCTCTGACCTTTGAGAAAATTCGCGAGACCTTCTCGGAAAGAAACGAAGCGAAAGTGTCCCACGTTTCGGAGTCATCGCGCTTCTGATACGAGTGAAATGAACTTTAAAGATCCTTGGAAAAAGTGAGTAACCAGCGAGGAGGCGAACTCGAAGCTGTTCGATCGAACAGTAAACTGAAGTCGAGCCGACCGTGATTGCACGGTGTTAGGTGCACTAACTATCGGTATCGGTTCCTCGTCCTGGCAGAGGAAACGGTTGCACGTGGAGAACAATATTTTTAAACGGGAACAGAGACGTGTAGAGTTTTATTCGATGCTGTAGCATTACGGTGCACAGGAGCGGGTAATATCGGCTCACGATGTTCACGACGATGAGATTGCGGAACGATTGTTCGAGTGGGTAACCGCGAATTACGTACTGTGTCGGGGGATTTGTGACTGGCCTTCTGACAGCGTTGCAAATGTGCGAGTAACGGAGAACGATCTCGACGTAATATCTGTAAACGTTCTGCAAGGGGGGCAAATGATGTCGATGACTGAAAACTGACTGTGAAAAACTTCTGCTGATTTTCGTCCTCTGGCGGGAACGAATAGGAACGAAGCGAAATTGCATGATATTGGACCGGAATGACGAATCGTTAAGTAACGTTGAATCGGTAGAAAAAGAACAGGATGGTTTACAATCCACGTGCCAACAAACACCGTGCGTCTGATAAATGAAAGAACCCCGGTGGATCTAAAAGTTCGCGCGAGGATACTTTTTCTATTACTTATTGAAATACGCGTCCGTCTTTTTATAGCAGAACTATTAATATCGCAAGGAAATTATGAAACGCTCGAAGATCAGTTCGATGTTTACGCGCGAGCGGGTCGGGAAGGAACGAGAGGAACCGGCGGCGCCCCCGGCTCGCGAAATACCTTCGTAACCGACGATGACGCGCGTCGAGTAGTTATTTCGGATGTACATCATCGAGGAAGATAGTGGGGACGACGGCGGATGCCGTCTGATCTCCGTCCGTCAGTGCGTCGACGCTGACGGAGCGCGCGAGACGCCGTGCGAGACGGAAAGCCGGCGGCCCGACAACGAGGACGACGTCGACACCGCCAGCCTGCTGGATGTCAAGTGTTTCCCACGTGTGCACAAGACGCCGCACATCCTCAAGAAGTCCGCCTCTCTGGAGGCGGAGAAGGGTCACGAGTCGAAGAAGGATCAGTTCCTAAAGTGCTCTCGTCGCGTGGACGCGCGGTCAAGCCGGTCGGCCGTCGAATCGGTCGCGTCTCGTAGCGAGGAGGAAGAGATCCTTGTCCTCGGGAAGGACAACGAGAAGCTCGTCGGAATTTCCGTTCGGTCGTTGGAAGTGGTGGATTGCAAGAGCGTGTACGACGACCAGGGATACAAAACCACGGTGAATTTCCAGTACAGGGATACTCTGACGCGATCGTGCAACGCGTCACGGCTCGAGAGAGCACGCGGCTTGAAGAGAAGCGTGTCCGCGCCCGGGAACGGTTCCTGCCAGGCCTCAGGCGAGAAACAGGATACCTCGTCGACGACCAAAGACAGTGACAGCCAAAGCAAAGACTCGGAGGATCGGAGCAAGGAAACCAAAGACTTTGCGTTCGCGAGGAGGAGCTCGTCGAAAAGCGGAACGGACGCCAGCGGCCAGTCGACCAGATACCAACGTTCGAGGGCCAACAGATCGCAAACGACGGAGTTCGCGACGAAGACGGAACAGTTGATCGCGAGACGCGGCCAACAGGATTATCCAGCGCGAAGGGCGAGAGCCTCCTCGTTCGTGATCGAGAGGAAGAGGCATCGCCAGGCTACAATTACATCCTCGAGGTCCAGCGAGGATCTGTCGAGGATCTGTTCGTTGAGCAACAACGAGACGACGGAGGCCGATGGAATGCGGAATTGCAACGGCGCGGTGGCGGGCGTCGACGAGAACGAAGGATGCGTTCTACTCGGGGTCCGGTCTTTGGAGGAGAGCCCCCAGCTGCCTCTGATCCCGCGACAGGACGACAGGTGTACCAGAAGGGACAGGGAGCGTGCTAGGATTCTGCGACGCAGAAGAATCAACGGGAGATCGGCCTCGGTGCCTAGGGTACACGTGAGTTTAGATCTGAAACCAGTCGACCAGAGCGATGACGCGTAAACGAGATCTAGTTCGCTCGAATTCTCGGAGTCTTATTTCGAACGGACTTGATTGGATCTGATTCAAGTTGGTTCGTCCCGATTACCTTTTTCCTTCACTTTGAAACTAAACTCTAACGAAGCTTTGAGACACCATTGTTCCCGAGTCGTCTAAGTCAAAAAGAAAAAGTAGCCAGATAAACGTCCCAAATATTCCACTGTCTCCTCGGTCTATTTATATTCGCCGCCTCTTTCGCATTGAACTCGATTTCCATCCACGACCTCGCCACGTGGTGTCTCTTCCAGTCCACCACGAAACCAGACGAGCTCATAAAAAAAAAAAAAAAAAAAAAAAATCGAGAACCTCCTCGATTGGAGAAATTACTATTCCTCTCATGGAACGAAAGTCAAGCGCACGATACGATTCGATGATTTATCGCGAAGGCTTAAAAAGCAACTCTTCCTCCGATATCGCGAGACGAGGCGACCCCATGCAAACTGCATGTCAACTGACATGGGAAACAAAGGGGGGGGGGAGAAGAGGAGCCGGTCGAATCGAACGATCCTCCCGCGGAGGACGTTAAAAGCACTCGTATCGCGTTGCTGCTCTCTTCCTCTCCACTCGAAGTGCATTCTATTGCGCGAGTAAATCACCGAGCGGCATCAACCTGCTAAAATGCATCGCTTTGTGCTACCCCCCGCCGCTCCGCGCTGTCGCGGATGGGATCGCGAGCGGTGTTGTTAAAGGTGCACCCACACGGGGGTTCGCCAGGCGGCGAACGAGCTCGCGAGACTGCCGGTGAAACGCCAACGTGGTATTTAGACGCGGGCCGATCGCCTCTTGCGAAAGCTGTTCCTCGGGTATTTGCGTTGGCGAGCGCGCCTCGACCCAGCCGGGAATTTTACCTGGTGCGCGTCGCCTGTTCTTCTCTTCCCCCATGCCCGTGCCCGTGCTCTGCCGTGCTCCGCCATGCTCTGCCGTGCCGTGGCGTTTCAACGCCGCTACTACGATCGTCCGATCGACGGCGACGCGCGTGTTTCACGTGGGTGAAAATGAATCGGCTGCGTGAACCGAGCGAGCATCCCGGCCTGTTGGGAAATTTTTGCTTCGCCCGCGGGGGAAGAAGGGAGGAAAGGATGCTTCGGATGCTTGATGGATGGTGTGTATACTCCCTCGGTCGAGTTGCTTCCTTTTTCAGACGCTCGTGCTTCGCCTCTGAAAGTTATTATCGTACGTCCAATAAAGGATATGTGTATATTGCCGGTGCCTCGCAGTACCTTTAAATTGAATCCTTGACTTTCCGCACGGAGCAATCGAGCTCACTCTGTACACACCGTGAGAGATACACTCGTGTACTCTGGAAAAGTCGACCGAGGGAAAAGAAAAATATCGAAGAAACGAGAAAATAATTCGAACAATTCTGTATACGGTTACTTTCGAGAAAGTTCTGTTAATGGAATTGCACTGTTGCTCCCGCTTTGCTTCACCGTACTACCGATGTCTCATGCGACATCGGGTTAGCATTCTTTCGTCCGTCATCCAATGGGAAACAATAAACTTTCGGTATCGCTGGCACGCGTGTTGCACGTGAGTCCAAGGTCCACTAGAATGATTAACAATTCGTTGAGAAGCCGCCAAACGTCTGATAACGACGGACAAATAGACTGAACAAGCCTCGTAGATAGTGCTTCGGTGGATGTAAATTATTTCGCGTTGGAATGTAGTTCGAAGAGGATCAACGAGATCAAACAAAGTTAAATGTTTCATCCATGTTCGTTACAGTGTCAAACATTCGTTGGTGGTTCAACTTTTCACTGCATTTTGAAGATCGTCGATAGTAAAATGACTCGGTGATACGTCAAGCGAAATTAAATAATAATCGCGCATTAGCATAGCTCGCTTCGAGCGTTCAAATGATCGTGCAACGTAGAGAAATTGATGTCTAATAATTTTCATCGAATCAAAGGACGTTTCAATTCTTATCTTTGCCATGGAACGATGGAACCAGAGAACAGGTTTATCGATTGTTTACCGTGAATTCTCAACTAGCCGAGAATCTTTGGAATTTACGTGAAATTTCTCCGACGAAAATTGTCCGGTCACGGGATCGCTAGAGAATGTTAATGGCAGCAGTGTGGTTCAGCCAGTCGAAGTAAATAATATCGAGGGCCTAGGACCGGTCTAACGTTCCGATCCAGTTCGAGACCACTTTCGTTTTTTCCCTGCGCTCGGCCCTGTTATACTGGCCGAAAGGAAACGATATACCGATGCTTTTACGATCGCGACAATGCAAGGCGTGGCGTCTCCGTTTTACGATCGAGCGCGGTTACGACAGCGATCGTTTTTCAAATGTCAGATCGACCCAAGCGCATGGAGATTTCTTGCTAAACTGGGAAAATGATCTTCTATTAATGAATTTCAACATTTTCTTTCTTTTCCTTCTCCTTTTTTTTTTTTTTGGAGTGAACTATGTTTGCAAAAAATTGCAAAGACTTAAAGAGAACGGAGAGACAGGTTTTTTCAATTTTAAAAAAATTCTGTTCCTGTGAAATTTTGATCGAAAGAACACTTAGGAACACTAACTGAATAATACTGTTTTCATGGAACGTTTGCATAATAAAAGTTCCACGGAAACAAGTTGATTAAAAATCCAGTTTTACGTTCGAGTACTATTCAGTGTTTGGCAGAAATTGAAAACTTCTTTAATATTGACGAATTATTATTGAAATCCCTTCGACGTGGAAAACTTTTATTTCGACATTTCACAAGTTCTACTCTCTGTACATTCGTTTGTCTGTTCTCATCGGGACTTGTAACGTAAGAAGATTTTCCGAGAAAGATCTACGAACCTGTTTAAAAGTATCTTAACTTTATCAATTCACGTTTGAGAAATTTCTTCGAGGTATTAAAGATTGATCGAGGATATTTCATTAGTTTCTTAGTAGTTTTTGAACAAACTGTGCAAGTATAAATCTTTATCTTTTGGAGTGGATCTTGCTTGTAAAGAATTCTCGAATCTCTTTCAGAGATTCATTAGAAAGTTTCTGAAAGTTCGTTGTTAGTCGCCGATCAAACGGAGCATCGCGAATATAATTAACCATCGCGATGTTACTTAGCGTACGTGGACGGCTTCTCGCGTACGGTTGCACTTGTACGACATCTGACCTGAATATACATATGCTCTCGCTAGATCCGCCGTCGATTTCGATTTAAAAGGATTTTCAAACGACCAGCCCTCGAATTAATTTCTTCCTGAAAGAACCCAGCATTAAATTACCCTTCGTCTTCGAAAATTGCGCTCTTGTTCCCAGCTATTTAAATTCCTTTAAACCTTCTTGTCGCTACCAGTTTGGCTCTTTCTTTCTTTTTTTTCTTTTTCTTTTTTTTTTTTACCCGCGTCGAAAACCTGCGTTGCAATTTTCCAATTTCTGTCGATCGATCCGACATCGATTCGAACTCGCAGTTTAATTACAAGTTACAAGCATACTCTTCGAATTCTTCTCCCAGTACCGTAATTACGGAAACCCGTGATTTTCTAATTTACGATTCCCGCAAATGTTCCTGGCCGGAGTTCGCGTGTTAACGCGCCCTTCGATGCGGCACGGCGGCGATAAGCAGAGTGCTTTCACAATCTGCCGGTAATTGGGTCTGTCCTTTCAACGCGCGGAGATCGCGCGAACGTGTGTCGAGCAGCGTCAATAACGAGCGCCAGAAACGAATGGAGGTTCTGGTTGAATCGCGGGACAGGTCGATCGAGCCGGGAACCGGTCGAATCCAACGACGCTCGAGTAGAAAAAGGGCCGTGACGTAACCGAGTTACCTTTGTCGGCTCCTGTTTTCCGCGAGTCTCGTATTAATTAATGGATACCAGGTTTTCAGACATTCCTCGCGACAATGGGAAACGCGCGTGAAGCTCGACGAAAGAAGAAGAAGGAAAAAAAACGTATCGACGTTCGCGGAACGCGATTGGGAAGAATGTTGATCGACACGAAGCTCGAAAGACACGTGAGACGAAAGAAAAATACTGCCGGTTCATTTCTTTATCGACGAGTTACGATTACACACTCAGCGAGAGCATGAATAGTTTTGTTTCGCACGTTGTTTAGAGGTTGACCGTATTCTTTTCTTTTATAGTACAAAGTGAAAAGTATGCGTGACTATCTCGAGAGGTTCTGGGCGTGGTAGAGACGAAAGAAGAGGCAGTTAGAAATTATATCAATGTTCCTCGTATCTACCGTTTCTACCGCGTGCTATTCAACTTGGTTCTAAACCAAGGGAACCTGGCATTACGTTCTGCAAACGAACGTTCTACTACTTTACTTTCGTATTAAATAGCAAGCTGCGTGGATTCGCGAGCGTAGCATCACGTCTGGCGGCCTGACTCGTAAAAACACTTAATGCCACGTTGCTGGCTGTTAAAACAGCAAATCGTCCGGGGAAGAGGTTGCGCGATACCCCACCTCGGGCTCACTGTGATTACTAATCGCTTCATAATCGAATCGGTTGCGTCGATCGCGTAACCGTCAGTTACCGATTTCTCCCGATCGGTGGTTCCATTCGCGGTGGAAGCCGGCTTTCCCTCCGCCGCGACACGCAACGCCCGAGACTTTTCTCGTTCGTGCTCGCTCGAACTTTCAGCGCTGAGAGACTCCTTATCGAGCAAGCTGGCCAACTTAACCTCGACAAACTTTTTTTTCTATCTTTACTATGACATACCAGCAATTTATTTACGAGGCATCATCACTTCAAATAAAATGATATAGCATTGGAAATGATATTTAATAATTTGTTGATTATATTTAAACATTGATTGTATTTAATAATTAATTGTATTTAATAATTAGCAAATGGTATTTAATAATTTGTTAATTTTGTTAATTTTGTTGATATCTTTCCAACACGTGGTGTCGTTTAAATTTAAAGCAACCATCAACCCCTGCATTGCGGGTTTGTTAGAACAGGTGTGAATGATACAT